TATAATATCGTGAAATTTTATAACTTTTTTACTTAAAGTATTGAAATCATTATTTATACTGGACAAAGTTAAATTTTATTTTGGTGATTATACGTTTAGTACTGTCACACGTTTTGGCGATAATACTAGAAGTCTGCGGAGCCAAGTCGTAAAAAACATTAATTATGTTATGAAATAACTGTATAAAGTTTTGATTTATGTCTAATAAAATTTAATTATAATTTAATTTAAATTAATTTAAATTCTTTTGAGTATTTTGTATTAAATACTGTTTTTATAAGTAAAGAATTTAACGGTACTAAGCTCTGATTAGTGCTTACTAAGTATGGTAAAAATAATTGATTTTCAAGTAAATTATTACTCTTTAAAATGATGCTTTTTAAGTTAATTTAACTTATTATTCTTTAAAATAATGCTTTTGTAATATTCGATAGAAGTAAATTCGGTATTAAAATTGGTAACAAAAATGTGAGAGAAAGAGTTTTTTACGGGAGCAACAAAATTATTTGATCATTGCAGGGAGTTAAAAATTTATACCGCATATGGCTTTAAAATTGCTCTTTATTCTTAAATTTATTTCCCTTTCAGTCATTTATACTTTTTGACCTAATTATTTTTTTGTTAATTTTAAAAATGTAGCACAGCTATTTGATAAGCATTTATAATTGAAAAAAATTATTTCAATGTAATGTTATGAAAATAAATAAAATATTTTACCAATAATTTGTCAATAAATTTTAAATTAAATTACCAACATTTCTCTTGTTGACTTTGGTGTCACCATCAAGCTTGACTTTCGAAGAATGAATGACATGACAACTTAAAAATGGAAGTAACGTTTAAGAACATCATTGTTGAAATAATTTCTTTCCTTAAAACCATTGTTGAAGTCATTGTTACAGTTTCATTTAGATACGATTAATTTTAGAGTTTGCTTTAAATTTTTACACAAGAATGAATTTCTATTTGTTGGAAAACAATACTTCAATACATGACAACAATACTTAAATAAGTTCGCTAAATTATAATTGACTATAATATTGAAATATGTAGAATTATATATTTAAAAAAGGCTGGGGTATTTAAATTTATTTAACAATTTTTAGCAAATAATGCTTAACTTAAATACAGAAATAATTACATGTAAATACTTTCTGACAAATATATAAATTTTTTTTCAATAACTATTTATTCCAACCTCCTTAAAGGTACCCAAATGATCTTTTTAAGTTATTTTCTTAATTAGCTTTATTTATTAATTAATTTATTTTTTTCAGATATATTATCCGTTCAGTTTAACCAGCGCCCTTTTACAAAGTGTTAAATTATCATAGAAATGTTGCAGGCGTAAGAAGTACGATAAAAACTATAGCAATTAGATTTTAATATTGTGAGTTTCTTTTTTTTTTTATAAATATTTTTGTCTGTTTGACAAGGTATTTTTAGACAATATTCTACTGTATTTAAAATAATTTTTAAAATATAATTGTCAATAAAAACTCCACTGAAAAAGCGTATTTTGAGTGTACGAACATGACGCTATCCTAATAACAACGATAAGTTAATGATGATATTAAAATATATTAGAAGTAATAAAGATTGCCAAAGAATGAATTTTATAGCAAAAAATGGATAAGTGAAACAGAGGTAGCCAGAAGAGGCAAATCAGGAGAAAATACATGGAATGTGGAATGTTGGTAAGAATGATATAAATAACAAGAAAATTCGCTATCACATCTATTAAACTGGACTAAAGATCATTTAGTAGAGCTGTTTTTTCATAGTGTGTTAGGCAAAAAAGTGAATTGGTGTGAAATTTACAAATAAGGTTCTGAATTCGTTGATTTTTTGAACTCTTGTTAACGAACATATTTGTGCTATTTAAATTTTTCAGCGTTTTTATTTTGCTCAATGTAGCCAAGGTAGCATTGGAAAAGTAGATGGCAAATGCCCAAGTAATTGTTAAGCACGGCAGTGATTGTTAATTTTGTTCTATTATTCCTAAATTTACCATCAAGATACAAAATGCTTCTGGTTAACCTTCAATGGTACAATTATTTTGCATCATAGATATTCGTAGCATAGGATTCGTAGCACATAGCATAGGAAATGTGATAATAAGACATACGCCTCCCTTACACGTGAAAGCACCTAATTTCAATCTATGTTAAAATTTTATTACTTTGTGATGAAAATTTTAAAGCTATTTTCATAAAGGTGAAATTTATTTTTTATAAAATTTTTATTTAGTTTTATTTTGTATTTGGTAATAATTTGCTCAATCTCTTATTGTTGATTATTAATACTTGGCTGTGCAGCTTTTTTTTGAATCGGAGTAACCTTAATCAAAGTATTACATACTAAGTGCTGTATATTTGAAATGAGGGAATATTTTTTATTTATTCAAAGTACTTAAGTTTATTATAAAGTGCGGTACATAAAAAAGAGCATTTTACTTTACTGAACATTTTGTTACTACATGTTTCTTTTATGAAAAATAAATCATTTTAAAACTTGTTGTTCTTTAAATTTTGGGTTTATAATCTTTGATAAAAGTAAATTTAAATTAATAATATAGTTATTTTATAGATAGGTAACTGAAAATTGGTAACAAATAAATAAAATATTGGTACAAAAATGTAAGAAACAAGCAATAAAATAAACAAACATTTCTCTTAGAAGCACTTTTATAAAGTAATGATTGAGCACGTAGTTCTGGTCAATGCTTCTCGAGTATATTTTAAACAGGCAAAATTATCTGAAATTGTTTATGTGGTTGTTAATTTTTGTGGAAGCAAAGTTTTTTTTTGTGACCTCATATTCTACTTCAGAGAGTAATAATACAATTTCGCGTTTTTCAAAAATTGTACATAATTTGATACTAATGTTTCTTTTTAAGATTCTCTCAGTGTTTTAAAATTTTATAGTTTTTCGAAAATTTAAGTTTTCTATTTATGGCTTGATTGTTTCGAACACTTAGAGATAGCTTGAGTTAAATTTCTTGATTTTGATGATAGCTTCAAAATGCAGAGCTAAATGCCATTTTTATTTAGTTTGTTTCAATCAGTGTGATTACAAAATCTGAAAATTTTTCGGAGAGCAAATCTCCCTACATCGCCAATTGCCATAAACTCGCCATGCATTTTGTATATGTATGGTAATTTCTGGTTATTAAAGTGTTTTCGCAAACAGTAACAATAGCCAAACAATTTTCGATGCCTATGATAATTAATTCATACAAGTAATAAAAATAATACTCGTAATATGGCGACATATAATAGGTACTGTGAAGTAAATACCTAACATACTATATTGGTACCTATTATGGATACTTTGAATACAGTTTTTTTTGGAATCCTAAAGTAGTACCAGATTTTCTGCCTAACACTCCGCAAAAATGTAATTTTTAAATTTGTTCGTGTCCTAAATGTTTCAGTATTTCAATATGTAATAAAACCATAAATATTTCAAAACTTTAATCATTAATATTTGTCATAGTTTCTTGTGACAAATATTAATGATTCTGTACTTTTTTAAGTCAAGAAATAATCAACATTACTGAAGATATGAAAAAATATGGCTACGTACTTGAATTCGAGAAAATGATTAATTTTTTTTAAATACCAGTTGTTTATAATTTGACACTGATATATAAAAAAGGGTCTTTTAATAGAATTAAGCATTTTTTACTACACACTCCAAAATTAGTTAGTTATAAAATCTTATTATTTTATTATATATCATTTTTATGAATCAGGCAAAAGCAAAATTAAGTTCTTTTAATGCATTATTGTACAGAACATGAAATGCAATGCTCTTCTAGGTAGAAATAAAATTTGTTACAAAAAGTGAGAAACAAAATTTGACAGGTTTTAGTGTAATGGAGAGATTTTGATGAAACACCATTTTTGTGTACAGTAGTTGTCGCCATTTTTGTTATTTAGATACACAAATATTTTTTACGATATGCCAGAAAAATATTTTATCATAATTGTTGTATTGAGGGCAATAATTGGCAAGTACGTACCTTTAGAGTCATTAAAGTAAGTATTAATTATTACTGGTACTAAAGGAATCTGGTAAATTCACCGCACTGCGTAAATTTCATTTCAAGCAAAAAAATAAAGCATAATTCTTTGTAATAAAACAAAAATATACTTTATTTAAACGATTTATTTTGTATTTTTTTCCATTCATGTGGTAACGATATACCATAAATTCCGGTTTTCAAAATAATAATTTATATTATCCCACATTTAGTAAAATTGTCGCTCAAATCATTATTATCATAAACTTTATTAGTATTAATTTTCCCAAAACCCTTCCTAAAGAGCTTCGCTAACAACACAAACAAACACAAATACAGCCAAACACAGTAAATGTTTTCATATTCCAGTAGTTTTGAACTTTTTCTTCGCAGTGTACATTTTTGCTTTTTTATCAGTCGTATAATATTCACTGATTCAAACTAATCTTTTTAAAATGTGTCTTGAAGTGTTATAAAACAGAAATTATAATTTGAAAGAAAACATTCTAGCCTTTCATATATTTCAGAGTTGTTTAGTATTTATACAAAATTAATAGCAATAGATATCCAAAATAGTACTTTTTAAAAAGATTTATGTAAAATATTTAAGTTTGGCTAATATGTATTGGGAATTTTATTTAAATTCTGAAATTTTTAACTTTAGAAAAAAAATCAACTAAGTTTAACAAATTTGTGTTTAAACCAAACCAACACGCAATTAAAGTTTTTTGCCAACAACAGAAATCGTCATTAAAAGACGGTATTTTCTGAGTTAATATGTAATCAAAAAATATATTCGAGAATGTATTTTGTTGAGTAATATGCCCAACTACTCATGTAAAAATTGCGAGAAATTACGTTTATCATTTTTATTTTAAATCTGCCCATATAGAGTAGCTTGAACTCTTGTGCATTATTATAACGTATTTTAAATTCATATTTTTCTTATTAAGAAAATAAGCAAGATCACAAATAGGAAAATTGAATTTTTTATTGGCAGCATAAATACAGTTTTTAAACATATACAATAGATAACATGGCTAATGAACTTTTTACATTGCATTAAGAAATATATAAATTAAAGTATGAGTGATTAATACTGAATCAGTATAAATTTGCATCCGTTAATGATGATCTGATGAGGGAAATATGGAAGGCAAAAAATAGCTGGATATTCTGTAAGTTCAAAATGAATCCCTGAGAGTAAATGAGTTGAACATAAAGCTGGTAAAACCAACTAAAAGTCATTTTCACAGTTTCTGGGGAGGCTTGTGTCTTTTACAGAAAAGCATCTTTGAAAACACTTTCCCAAACTGTCATTTAGAAAAAATGTTGGCACTTCTCCATTTTCGCTCTTTAGTTTATGTTCATGCATGTCACATCGTTGCTCTTCGATAAATGCTTTTATTCATCAAATGCTTCTACAAAAAATTAAGTTGTTTTTATTAATCATACTGTAAAAGAATAATATTTTTTTTAAATATTTAAACATATTGAACATCATAAAATAAAATTTTGTTTTTCTAGTTTTTTATGGATCAAGAGACGTGGAAATTTTTATTATCCTTAATGTAAACGCTTTTCCCATATGAGATTGTTAAATTTACATATTTTATTATTTTTATTTTCTTTTTAACCTGCACAATTCTCAGTAAAACTTTTTTTTAAAAAATAAATCTAAAAAAAATCTTAATTTAATGACCAAATTATGATTATCAAATGAATTAGTAATTTTTTTAGAATTAGCAAGAGTATTTTCTACTTGCGTCTTTACTTTTTTTAAAAATTTCAATTGGTTATTTTTCGGTTGACAAAAGATATTTTTCAGGATAAGTGCTTTGATTTTATAAGTATATTTGTGACATTTTATTTTTTTATAAATAATTTGACATCTCAGCGCCATTAAATCTTCAACTAATTCATTTATCAGTCAGATTAAACGTAACGACGCATTCGAAGCAAGCTATACACATAGACAAGCAAAAAAAAGTAACGATTAACTAACGAAATTTAATTTTTTGTTATACTAATTTGATTTTTAATTTGGTATTAATACTCATTTTATGTACTCTCAGAAAGTGAACTTTCTCTTTTGGCGATTCAGTAATCCTTTAGCAGTATTTCGCTAATTTTGGGAATTATTTCATCACGAAATCACATGATTTGTGACGAAACTCGAACTCCCATATATACGACACGAATGTTTTCCCAGTCGTAGTGCATTCTGAGAGATAGTTAACTAGAATGACGAAGCTAGAACAAAAACTAGACACTCGAAAATAAATCCTACTGTCTGTATGGTGGTTTAGGAGTTGGTCACGGATGTATAAGATTAGGGGTTCGAATCCCGCTTCAGACATGGGTGTAATTTTTTTATCTGTTCTATCAGTCTTTTTTCTGTTGTGATCATGTGGAACTCATGTTTAAGTGATTTTTTGAAATTTGAATTTTGACAATAAGCACTAAAATGTTCTTTTTAATTTTTTTTTAAAAATGGAATGACGGAATTTTTTTTTAATTTTAACGAAATTTGTTTTCTCGAATGAGATGATAATTATTTCGCCACTTTGAAGAAATTTTTGCTCTCATAGCGCATACTAGGAAATGGTTTCGTTGAAAATGAAGAAAATTTCGTGATATCTGAGTATCCATTTTTTTTTACAGAGAAAGCGAGAACAATTTTTATGGACTGATGGGAGTATAAAATGTCTGATTACAATATGTAAAGTTCAATTTACCACGTCTCTAGCAAGACGGCACATTAAGAATACCAAATTTTGTACTAAAACTACAGACATGTGTTTTCCATTTTAACTGTGGCTTGTAAATTGTGGTAAAAAAAACTACTTAAAAAGTACGCGATGCTAAAATCATGAAAATAAATTTCGAAAACTGTTTGCGAATTTATTTTGATTTGGTATGAATCAGGTACGGTATCGGGAATATATTTAGATTCGGTTACCGGTCAAAATCATTTAGTTTCAGTCCCGCAGTGGACTGATCGTTAAGACACGGTTCCCATCAGATCACCGAAGTCAATCATCACTGGCTGCGGTCAGTGTGCGGGTGGGTGACCATTTGGATCAGTCTGTGTAGGGACCGAGGATGTGCGGTATTGGCCCTCGTTAAACTGTTCTATCGTAAAGTGCTCGACTTCGCGTGCAGGTCGTCGGGCTACCGAAGCGGGGGTGCTATATCCCTTCTGCAGAGGATCAAAATTGCGATGGCATGTCTTCGGATCATCCTCTGTGATATTTCCCTGACAGTCGCCAATAGCCATTGTGCATCTCTAGTGCGACGTAAATGAAGAAAAGCACTTAGTTTCATCTTCAGGTTTCAGCGATATTAAGCATAAACCACTTAGTGGAACAATATCTACCAAGAAAATTGCTTTGTCTCAAAATACAAAACGTATCTGTTCCCCATAGTGCAAGAATCGTTTTTATTATTAGCTACATCTTAGACGTGAGCCGTAAGTTATTGATCAAGACGTAAACTATGAATTAAAATATCAGCCCTGGGCTAAAAATCCTGAATCGATAGACTTTTGATAAGTATCCGGCTTTTATTGTCCTTGCTGGTTTATTCAATTTTAAAGGTTTATATCTATGCTAAAATGGTGATTGATAATTTCAACGTAAAATTGACAAAAACAATAATATTAATACTCATACATAAAAACAGTTTATTTTGATGTTCTCTTGAGAGCAAGGAAAGACAAGAATCGAAACTAACACTTGTTTTAATTTATATGAGGCTTCTTTTTGTCCTGCATATTCTATTTGCTTTCAAAAGTTTAATGATGATGGGATAGTAAAATTTAACCTTGCTAATTAACGTTGAAGTTTTACTAAAACGTTATGGCATACATATTATAATTCAGAGAAAAGGTTATTTTTCTTACATGTAACTTGACACGGTCTTGCAGAAAATATAAGACAATTGGCACATTTTTTCCCTTCATATTTTTGTCAAGACTTATCATTCATGTTAGCCACCAAATCTAGAACATCTTTCGAAGAAGGTCTCTTAAAAGGATCCACTGTCGTGCATTTCCTTACTATTTGGCGAAGCTGTAAAACATAAGAATTACGTAATAAGAATTAAGATGTTAGTAGTTGTCAAATATTTAATGCAACACTGACAAAACACAGAAGAACTGAAATAAAACTTTCAGACAGATTTTCCGAAGTAACGCAGTTAGACAATGATGTTCCCACAAATATAAACATTGATATTTTTTTTCAAATTAATTGAGTATTTACTTTGAGTTTAGAACAGCCGTTGCAAAAGTTGGTAGCTGTCAAGAAATTAAAGCATTATTTTATGCAATATGATGTCGAATATATTAAAGACTCCTTTTGTTTAGGGTAATTTTAAAGATTATTGAAACCGTATTGACAACGAATAGTTAAATAAAGCAGTTGAGGAATGATGAATATAAACATAATATAAACATTGAGGAATGATGAATATATACATAACATAAACACCAAGAATATAAACATTGAACTTTTTTCAAATTATTGGAGAAGGAGTGGGAGTTACTATATATTTCATACGAGAGTCATTATATGCTTCGAAACATTCTAATAATTTTAATCCCTTCTGCAGAGGATGAAAATTGCGATGTCATGTCTTCGGATCATCCTCAGGGATGTTTCCCAGACTGTCACCAATAGCCCATTGTGCAGCTCTAATGCGACGTAAATGAACTACAACAACAACAATCTAATAATTTAGTTGATGGTCTTTCGAGTTCACTGTTACCCAATATTTGCTCAAGTTTATTTTAATTTAATCTGCTGAACCCCCCTGAGGTTCCCTCCAAATCGCCTCACACCTGTTTCTTATCTCTCTATTATTATTTCCTTATTCAAATTTATTTCTTTTTCTTTATTGATTAAACCACTTAACGCGTGTTTGTCTCTTTACTTCTCTACCTTCATTTGACGTTTAGACATCACTGTGGAAGGCTCGTGTTTACAGAACTGAAACTATGATATGACAATTAATGTACTTTCAGTTGTGCTTTTATCCCGCTGTTTCCTGGTATTAGTCTATATAGCACATAGTATTACCCCTTCCTTTGTTGCATACTTAACTTTGAGTTAGAAATAGCCGTAACAAAAGTTGGCAGCTGTCTAGAAATTAAAGTATTATTTTATGCAATATGATGTCGGATATGTTTAGAACTTTTTTATGTTTGGGATAATTTTAACAATTATTAAAACCGTATGAACAACAAATAGTTAAATAAAGCAGTTAGGGGATGATGTCTCTATGAATATAAACATTGATATTTTTTCAAATTATTGGAGTATTTACTTTGAGTTTGGAACAATCGTAGCAAAAGTTTCTAGCTGTCAAGAAATTAAAGCATTATTTTATGCAATATGACGTTGATATATTAAGAACTCTTTTTGCTTGGGGAAATTTTGAAGATTATTGAAAAAGTATTGATAACAAAAGAAAAATTAAAGTTTTATTTAAAAAAGAAGGCGTTTGAAACCTTAAAAAGTCAAACGGGAACTCTTTCTCAAAGTGACTACGCTGAAAGATTAAAACAGAACAGCTAAGGACTAAGAAAAAGTATAGTTGCAAATCAAGTAATCAAAAGAAAGTTATTGAGGAAAATCGACACGCTTTCAAACAAGAAGTATCGTGCTATCTGAGAGGTGTTGTAGCTAAAGGAGGCACATTGGAGAAAAAATACTTAACAAGATGCATGGATAAAGCTGAATGACTTGGGAATGCTTCACTAAAGCATTAGCATTCATATAAATGAGACAGAACCCAATAGCATGAAGATGTATTGACGTGTCAGGAGTGGAAAGAATTTATCTTTGAATTTCAATAAAGCATATTTTTTTTTCCATGACAGTAAGATTTTTTCCTACTCCAGCACTTCAGCTCATCTTTATATTCTTGAGTCTTGTTTTAATCATATGAATGCCTTACTTTCTAGTAAATAACTTCATTTCCGCACCATCCAAGCATTCCGTATGAAATTTATTTTGCCACGATTTCCCACTTTCAGCCTTCTTCATTTTCTCAGCTGCTTACTACAGTTTCACTTCTTACTCTCCCATTAATCATCTTTCCAGTTTTTCCAGTTCCTTTTCTTATTTCTAAGTTGTGTTGTCATTAAAAATAACGCCCTATTCGAGCTTTCGAAACGTGGCGACTTTTTACTATATGACTCATGAATTATAAAAAAAATTTTAAGTATATTTTCCGCTTCAGTTTTTTTATTTTTTCGTTGAATAGTTAATATAGAATAAGAGTTTCTTTCTACACTTACTACTTCTAAGACATTTTCTTCATCTTCACTTTTAGATTCTCTTTTTTCGAACCCAGCGTTTGTTATTCGTCTAAATATCTTGCTTTCTTTCCTTTGAATGGGATGGCTTTTCTTAGAAGCAATAGATGCCGCTGGAAAAAAAATCAATTTTGAAAATATTCTGCAATGATAGTCGAAGCAACATTCCCATTTTAATACACAAATAAATAGTATTCGAAATTTTACTATGAACAATCAGACATCAACAGAAATTCAAATTACTTGCAATTATTTTCTTGCTGAACAAAGTGCATTTAGGTATGTAGAGTTCGCTAGATCAGACCGACGGATCGGAATACCGAACCTGCGACCTCTCATCCTGATATTCTTTCTGCTGTCAGAAATTAACTGCGACTGACTGCAGGATACTGATGTCGTAATTATTCATCGTACATTTTCTCCAGTATATATATGTATCTGCAAAACCACAAAACTACTACTACTCTGTTATACTCTATTTTGAATTTTAATTTATTTTTAAGTTAGTCACGCAGCTTTTGTGACTCTATTATTCTTCCGGAAAATAAAAATGTTTATTTTTATCTTCTGATTGTTTTGATGTTATCTTTGGTTCCGTAAAAATGTAGGAACGCTATTCCTCGTTCTCACAGGTATAACCACACAGGAAACTTCGAAACTGTATTTTAAGAAAGCTACCTTAGACGTATTTATTATAGTCTTAAAGCATCTATAAACGTCACAAAAATATTTTGATGAAAACATTTTAAAAATGCTTGAGAAAAAAACTGAATATAAACAGCAAAGAGAAAAGTAGGCATTTTGAAATATTCCTGGCATGTTAGGAGCACGAAAGTTAGTTACTGGTGGAACTATAAATTTTGTATTTAAATAGATTTCAAAAATAAATTATCGTATGTAAAAAAAAATCTATTTTTTCTATAAAATTAAAAATTGTTTTAAAATGCAATTTTTATCTCGAATATGGCACCAATTTCTATTTATTGGCATATAAAGTAAATAGTTATCTGTTTAAGAAATGATACTTCATGGCTTAGACTCCAACTTACAGACTGTTGTGGTAAAATAGTTTCTATCAAAACAGTGAGCTTAGATGCTCTGTTTCAACTTTCATTTAAGAAACGCAAAAAATTTCACATATATAAGGTGAAGAAAATGCTACAAATATTTCAGCAAATGATTTCACACATCGGCACACTTTCATCAAATTTTCAAAATCAATTTTTTTCAACACAAAAAGAAGAATACATAAATAAAGGAAACTCAAAAGCAAATTTTGAATCCAATATGAAGCAAGTTTTTGTTAGATGCATTATTTGATGCGTTATTTATTAATATATTACTACATATTTATTAACAAAATATGCACACGTAAAATAATTTAAAATAACGCAATGAACAAAATTTAATGTCAGGCGATTAGTCAAGATAAAACCGATTGCTAATTTTATTCAAAAAATTACACAAAATTAAAATGGAATGTTACTCATGCCACAACATAAACCAAAATTAGCCAGAAGCCTTTTTCTGTAACTCTGTCTTTACGAAAAGTGTTCTATCTCTTCTTACTGCATTTATTATTACACTGGTGTGCAAAACTTAAGCAACAAGTGGTTTTTAGGCCACAGCTCCCCAACAAAGTATAAGATAGCCATGAAATTGCAGTATAATATGCACGTAATTCAGTAGAAAGATTATTTGTATGCATATTTTAGAAATAAAACGTCGTAGGAGATGTAAGAGTACGTAAACCTTGTGGGTCGGCGCGCGCAGGTCAAAGCTGTGATAAAAGGATGAAGAGCACCGTAGTTAAAGACATTCGCTGCAAGTGCAAGTGATTTGTTTTGTGAAACATGTCTTCAAGAAATCATTTAGACGACTGTACTCGAGGAAGAATGATTGGGAAGCTTGAGGAGGGGCGTAGTGTGACCAGTGTCACCGAAGAGTTCGGGATCAACAAAAGTGTTGTTTCACGTGCTTGGAATGCCTTTAAAACTACTGGTACAGCTGTTCGGAAGGTTGGTGGTGGCCGTCCAAGGAAAACAACACCAAGAGATGACCGTTACATTGTCCT